AAAATTGATATAAATGATGGTTTGAACTATCAAAATATAATTAAGGGAGAAAATGAAAAAAAAAAAATGTATGGATGTTTTTCGCAATGATAGTGAAAGGTTAGGACATTATGTGCTAATTACCCTTTTATTAATTTATTTTGGACTCATTTGCGCTTTTCAAAAAAATTGAGACTATATTTGCAATTAATTTTTAAATTTTTTCTTTTGTTTTATTTAAAAGAAATTGTATTTTCATCATTTTACAACTTTTAATTGAGAAAATAGATTAAAATGACCTTTTGCGCAATGAAATGTGAAAATAAGGGTGAACATGTCAAAAAATGAAAGGTATGGACATTTTTCACAATAACAATGAAAGGTGGTGACGTTATATGCTAATGACCCTTTTTTATTATACAAGGCAGGAAATGAAGGAAAAGGAGAATTGTGAGAATTATCATCTCGTATGTGGTGATTTCACAATATTGTATTAGATCCACATCAATTCTATTTCAAATGCAAGTTTTCGAAAGTTTTTTGAATTCTGCAAAAGTTTTTAAAAGTTTTAAAATGAAAGTTTATGAGTTTACAAAAGACTTCCACTAATCCTATATAAATCTCTAAAAAATTCACGAAATCTACAAAAATCGTCACTTAAAAAAAGTTATCAAAAGTCTCGATTAACTTCATTGCGGGGTACTGTATGAACTTCAGATTATCCTTCAAGAGATGCCTTCTGCATTTTTTGAGCGATCTTTAGTCTGACTCGATTTGTTGTCTTAACACGATGCTATTGATAAATATCTAAACTTGTGAAATAAAATGATAAATATTTAATTTTATAAAAAAATTATTTATTTCGGAAAATCTTTTTGGGTCGGATAAATGTGACATCATGCATGTGTTCATCTACTGGTCCCCAGCTTTAATAATGCTACATTTAACACGTTTCGAGCAGCAAGTACAAGACGCGTTGGAAGTTAGTCATTTAATACGATTTTTTTTTTTTTTTTTGATATCGAAGTATCCCAACTTACACCAGACTATGTCCTGCACCACTCATCCCCGACCCTTCAGTGATGGGTG